CACACACACACACACACACACACACACACACACACACACACACACACCACCGCGTGCGTGCGCTCACACACACACACACACACACACACACACATACATGAAATAAAAAGAAAAGAGTTTTGACTGGAAATGACAACAGTATGTTGAGTTAATAAAAAAGAAGAAGAAGATAAGAGTACGTTGAGTTAATACTCTACTTGATACAGCCATTACTATTCACAGTTCCGAGAGGACTGTGACGAAGTGTGACGAAGCACAAAGAATAAGTGTTAACCGACTTAAACCACCAGTACCTACCGGTTGGGGCGGCCGTTAACGCGGTAGCCAAATCGGCCTGCCCCTCCAGTCCAAATTCATTTGAGGCCCGGGGGTACAAAAATTGCGGTACGTATTGGTGGTTTAAAAGTATGATGAACCATCTGCGCAATTCTCTTGACCTTTTGCCATCTACAGTTTGTTCGTTTCAAGGATGCACATTGCCCGGCCCCTCCTCCTCCTCCTCCTCCTCTTCCTCCATCCCTTGGTGTCTTAATTCAGCAGCTTTCTCTCTTTGACCAGCCTTTATGGCCTCCTCATGCTCTGACTGAAGCCGCTGCATCTCCTCCTCTTGTTGTTGTCGCTCGAACCACGTGTCAGCGTCGGCCCAGACTGCACATATCAAACACACGTTAAGTGAATCACGATTGGACAGCATCTGCACAACTTCACTACTAAGAAAATTCAAAATAGTAATCACTAGCATATATACATAGAGCATGGCACCAACCACGGATCTACATACGGTTCTAATCTGGTGATGTATGATGGATGGTATATACAAAGAGCATGGCACCAACCACGGATCGCTCTCAATTATACCACCCACCATACATCAAACATTCAAGTTGATTCAACCTCAATTATCCCATCCATCATACATCACAAAGGCACCAACCACGAATCGAAGACTGTTACCTATGGTTTTAATCTCTCTCTCTCTCTCTCTCTCTCTCTCTCTCTCTCTCTCTCTCTCTCTCTCTCTCTCTCTCTCTCACTCACTCTAGTGTGTGCTCGCGCGCGCTCGTTCACTTCTTTTTTTCTTCTTCTGTGTACGTTGTGTGTGGCTGTGTTTTTTAAACGAGCACACCATAGCAACCCCTTCTAACCCAGATGCATAAGATGATAATTGGAATGTTCTTTCCATGTGGAGATTCTGAATCGATTGCAATGATTTTGATAAAATCATAAAACTGGGGTCTCGCGGCCGCAAATTTGAATGGTGCAATCATAGCCCTGTTTGTGTCACTGAGTATGAGGTGCCTGGACACCTCTCTTCCTTTTGGCACACACTTGCACAATATGTTTTCGCTGTTCCCTACCTATGCTCATTTCGTTGGCCTTTCTTAAGCAGTTCTGCACTGGGAAAAAGAGGGCAAAGAAGGAGACGAGGGGACATCACTCCCCAGCACAACAGAGTGGCAATAAGAGCGCAACGAGTCACTGACCGGTCGGAAGGCATGGAATGAACGCAATCCGACCGGTCAACAAGCACAGAGAGCACACGCACGTTTCATCTGCGATGCGTGGAAGCAGCACGTCCACTTTTGAAAGTGCACACGACGAACAGGTCACAAGCAACATAGCTTCCACATGCTACCGTCGTCACCTGACTAAAACGCCCGGTCATTATCGCTGCATCTGGACCGAAAATTGTGACAGATACCTCTATACTTCTATTCGGGTGACAACTGTAGGATCACAAAAGGCACAGAGGCTACAGCTATACAGGTGGTGCAAGGCCCCACCACGAGGGACGGCAGAATTGAAGATCAAATTGGAGATGAGCTGAGACTGAAAGTTCCTGCACACATAAATATTATATAAATTATATAGTATATAGATATAAATACCAAATAGACTACATATAGACAATTATAAAATATAACAAGCAGGTGCAGCCAGCGCAGCTTGCGCCCGCGAACACCGTCAGGAAGCAACCCCAATGAAGAATCTCACTTCGCTCTTTCTGTCTCTGACTCTATGTTTTCTTTGTTAGTGTATGGCTGGTGCTTTCTGTATCACTGTTTTAGCTCTTGGCGTCTTCTGTCTTTCTAAGTGGTTGTGGAAAGCAGAATAGTAAACAGCAATGGTCACAAACAGCAAGGTCAAACACGGTCACAAACAGAATAGTAAACAGCAACGAATCCTCAACGATTCGAAGAACATTATCATCGTCACCGAGAAAGAGACGACTCTTTTTTTTTTTTTTCCTTTCTCATTTGTTTTTCCTGCTACACACAGCGTCAGAGCTCCCAGGAACTTCGGGAGATCGCACCAGTCTGACAGTACATGCGGAAAGGAGTTACCACAC